CTCCATATTCATCCAAAGTGAGAATTCAATCATGAGATAAGTTATTTTCAACTTATCTAACTTAATAATACCATAAAACAATCACAAGAGAAAATAACAAGAATTCATATTTTTCCCCAAATTTTCGGATTAGGCCATATATGACAAAACCCTAATATCTAAATATCATTTTTTCCAATCCACTAGAATAACTAGCTCCAAATACTCAAATAGTTAGCTTTGTTATCATATTTTTCAAGTATAAGTTATAAATTGAAAACCCTAAACAAAAATTTACAATAACTAAATCATAAATTATTAATCTTACCTCTTGAAGAATTAAATAAACAAGATTAAAGTAGTTGGCACAAGATTTCTTCTTTCCTTTTCCTTTTTTCCTTTCTTTCTTTTTCTTTTCTCCCCTTTCTCCTCTTCTCCGCGTTCTCTCTCGTTCAACACACTTTAGTGTGTGTTTAGCGTGTGTTTGTGTATGATTTTTGTGGAAAAAAATGGTCAAAGTTTGAATATAAAGGCCACTTGTTCAAAATTGCTAAGGAAGGTCCCTATTCTTTAATAAAATATAACTTTTAAATTCTAAACTTCCAAATATATATAAGTAAATTCCCAACTTTAAATTGTAGCCAATTTAACCCTCATATATGGCTAATTATAAAATAAATCCCAATAAAATATATTAATTTCATTTTAGTCCTTAATTGACTTTGACTTTGACTAGTCAACATTTGAATTTTGACTAGAAAAATTTGGGTTGTAACATGAACCATGCGACCACATGGTGTTGAACCATGCCGTTGCATGGCAGTAATTTAGTAACCGTTGGAGGTTGTTTTGGTTTGAATTATGGCGGCTTTCGGGATGTTTCTTGCATCTTTTCAGAACGATTTTGGCAGCAACTCATGGACATTGATTGAGGCCTCTAAATAGGCCATGGATGATCAATGAAAACATGTTGAAATCAACATTGAAATCATATTGAAACACACTTGAGAGTCATTCCTTATTCCATAATCAAAGATCAAACTGTGGTTTTCAATCATATTCAATTTCGCTTATTACATTCTTCAAGTTTTGGAATATTTCACTTTGTGCTTTGGTGAAAATCATTTACAAAGCTTGTTATAATTCTTCAAACAGTTTGCTAGAATACCCTTAAGCATCTCATTCAGTTAGGTGTTTGAGGACAACGATATCCTGTTCGAGCCTTCAATTTTATTCTTAAAAGTTTCTGGTTTTGATTCATATCCTGCTGTATTTTCGTTTGGTTTTATCTCCATATCTCCAATAATTTTCCAACATCCCTTTCCATCTGGTGTGCACTTAGGACCTTGCACTCTCAATGAAGTGGTTTTGGCAAGACAATCGCATGCAGAGGCCATTAACTCATGTTGGCGTGGAAGATGTCCTACGTGATTTCTTCTTCACACATGCCTGAAAGAAGTTGTCCCACATGACGTGGCACATATTCACTTAATTATTGGGATTAGTCAAAGATTACAATCCTAAATAATTTTGGTAAACAAAATTCTAGATCAATCAATGAAGCCGTTTCCTAATTAGATTAAATCTTTGATGGAAAGATAATCATAATGAAAAAGGAAACTGGTCCACTCTCTACCCCATAAAAGGCACACAATATCCATCACGTTTGTGCAACTTAATTGAGGGTTAAGTGAGAGAAACCGTTTCCAGTGCCTTCATTCTTCTCCAAAGATTGTTCTCATGGATTCAAGTACGTCAATTCCTTTCCACGTTATTAAAAAAAAAAGGAAAAAGAGAATCATGATTATTTAAGTTCTTGTTTATTATGGATTCAATCTTACATGTGGCATCAGAGCCAAAGTTTGAATTCTCATGATTCTCGATTTATATTGTTGCTGTAAGTAAGATTTGCAAGCTGCATCATAGTTACTTTACTTGAATCTTGAAAGTCATGATTAATTAATTCTTATGAGCTGTCATTCGAAAAACTCTTTGGTGTTTATCTGTGTTGAAATGGATTTAATTTCTTTTACAACTTCCTTGCAAAGTCTCTTTTATTTATTTACTGTTATTACTCGTTTCGGCGTTATTTTAGATTTTAAGGGACTGAATATTTCTGATAGCATGCTATTAACAATTTGAATTCACAGTCTTTGGCAAATATAATGGACAAAATGATTCTGTATCTTTCTTGGTTATTGGAATATTTATTGGAAAAAGATAATTTTTTTTCTTGGTCTGCACCGATTCAGGTGTGAAAGAAGAAAAGGCCATTTTGTTCCATTGTTAGTTCCATTTATTCAGATTTATGTCAAATGCAATTGTCTTTAACGCAATTCATAAAGTCAGCCACTATGTCATTCACTTTCGAATATCTTAATGTATTGCCTTGTCATCAAAAGTTGGTTGAGAAATTACAAGTTTTCTTAGCTTTAATTGACATTTTATGTGCACACTCTTTTCTGTGAAATTATGGCAGTATGTTATATTGGTATTGAATAATGTTGCCGATAGACGGATCTAATTCTTTTCAGTCAACGACTTCTATGTTATTGGCCATGCTTAGTTTTGATGATTATAATTATTGTTGAACTAATTTGTGTGCAAATTTATTATTTTGACGGAATATCTTTATTATGATATAGTCTGGTGGCTACCAAAGTGGCCCAACTAGAATGTTTGATAGCTATGAAGTCATATAATGAAACTTAATACCTATCCCTAGTATTAAGATAATAACTTCGCAAATTTTGAATTACAATTTTCAATCATTAGATATTATGGATTGGCCCAAAGGTGCACCACTTCTAAGTGATTGATCTACTGAATTAGGATAGTTAATGAGTATCCTTAATTTAAGTAGGAACTGTATACCCAAAGGTAACGACCTGATTGAATTTTGGACCTATATGATTGACTATTCCTAGGTGAAAGGGAATCACCATAATTGTTAATTAGTATATCGTAATTAGAACCTAAAGGTGAATTGAGGTAGAACTATTTAAGTTCGTATTTATGGCTAACTCAATGAACTAATGTTGTGAGTTCCTTTTTATTATTTATTTTGCAGACTCAGAACCTGTGTCGCTACACTCGCTAGCTTCGTCTGTTTCGACGTTTGATGGAACAAATTTTTCAAATTGGTATGAACAAGTCCAGTTTCACGTTGGTGTTCTGGACCTTGATTTAGCACTCTAAATTGAGAAACGGGTTGCTATTACTAATTTAAGCAGTGCGGAAGAAAAGGCTTTATTTAATTCTTGGGAAAGATCGAACAGACTTAGCACTATGTTTATGAGAATGAGCATAGCAAATAACATTAAATCAACACTTCCTGAAACTAATAGCACTAAATACTTGTTGAAAACGGTCGAAGATCGTTTTCGATCTGCTGAAAAGTCTCGTGCTGGGACATTAATGGCTCAACTTACCACCATGAAATTTGATGGTACACATGGAATGCATGAGCATATAATTGAAATGACAAATCTAGCTGCCAAACTCCAGGCTCTTGGGATGAAAGTGGATGAGACCTTTCTTGTTCAATTTATTATGAATTCTTTGCCTCCTTAGTATGGGTCATTTCAAATTCACTATAACACTATAAATGATAAGTGGAACGTGAATGAACTGACCAGTATGGTTGTTCAAGACGAGATAAGACTTAAACAACAAGGACACCATTCAGTCAATCTCTGAAGTCATAGAGCCAAAAAGAAAGGAAAAATGTCAAGAGAGAACATGAAACATGGACCACATAAAGCTAAAGAACCTCATAATGTTGTTAGGGCTCACAAGAATGAGCAAAAGAATGATAGATGTCACTTCTGTCACAAGTTGGGACACTTCTGTCACATAAAACTAAAACATAAGGCATGGTTCGGAGAAAACGGTTAGCCTTTGGCTTATGTATGTTTTGAATCTAACCTTACTGAAGTTCCTTCTGATACTTAGTGGTTTGATTCAGGTTCTAATGTTCATGTTTCAAATACGATGCAGGGATTCCTCACAATCCAGATCTTAAGTCAAAATGAAAACTTCATTGTCTTGGGGAATGGAGTCTAAGTTCCAGTTTCTGCCATTGGAACCTATCGTTTATTTTTAGATACCAATCATCATTTATATTTATTTCAGACACTTTATGTTCCTTCTATTTCTATAAATTTAATTTCAATTTCTAAACTTGATGTTGAGGGACATTTCTTTAAGCTTGGGAATAAAAGAGTCAGTTTATTTAAGAATAATGTCTTTCTTGGTTCTGGTATTTTATGTGATGGCTTGTATAAAATAAATCTCAATAACGATTTTGCTGAAACTCTTATGACCTTGCATTATAATGTTGGAACTAAACGTAGCCTAATAAATGTAAGTTCTTTTGACTTGTGGCATAGACGACTGGGTCATATATCCAGAGAAAGGTTAGAGAGATTAGTAAAAGATAGGATTTTGTCAAACCTAGATTTTATCGATCTCGATGTGTGTGTGGATTGTATTAAGGGAAAACAAATCAAAAGTACAAAGAAGAATGCCACAATAAGTGAAGGACTTCTTAAAATGATCCATACAGACATTTGTGGGCCTTTTGACCTCCATCATTAAGTGGAGAGAAATATTTTATCTCCTTTATCGATGATTTTTCACGTTATTGCTATATTTATCTATTGAATGAAAAATCTCAGGCAGTGAATGCTCTAGAGGTATACATTACTGAGGTTGAAAGACAATTAGATAGAAAAGTGAAAATCGTCAGATCTGACAGAGGTGGTTAATATTATGGTAAATATGATAAATCAGGACAATGTCCTGGTCCATTTGCAAAACTCCTAGAAAAGCATGGCGTACGTACACAATACACTATGCCAGGCACACCACAATAGAATGGTGTTGCTACAAGGCGTAATTGTACCCTAATGGATATGCTTAGGAGCATGCTGAGTAACTCTTCATTACCTATATCGTTGTTGATGGAAGCTCTTAAGATCGTTGTATACATACTTAATCGGGTTCCCAGTAAGGTAGTTCCTCAAACTCCTTTTGAGTTATGGACTAGGAGAAAATCGAGTATAAAGCACCTGCATGTTTGGGGTTGCCTAGTGGAGGCTAGAATTTATAATCCATATGAAAAGAAATTGGATTTCAAAACAGTCAGTGGATATTTCATTGGCTATCCAGAGAAATCTAAAAGGAATAGGTTTTATTGTCCTAATCATAGTACAAGAATTGTAGAAACCGAAAATGCTAAATTTATTTAGAACGGTGAAACTAGTAGGAGTGATAAACCATGAAATGCAGACATTCAAGAAATTAGGATACAAATCCCTATACCTATTGACTTCTAAGGAAGTTGTTGTTGTTCCTACAGTTGTTGAACAATTCAACAACGATGAACAACATGTTAATGATCAAACACTCCATAATGAGATTATAACACCTGAGTCCGCTGTTGAACAACTGCAAGGGATAGCATTAAGGAGATCTCAAAGAAAAAGAAGATCCGCTATGCCAAATGATTATGTGGTATATCTACAAAAAGCTTATTTTGATCAAGGGATTAGAAATGATCCCGCTTCATTTGGACAGGCCATAGAAAGTGATTACTCTCCAAAATGAATTGATGCCATGAATGATAAGTTAGAATCAATGGACCAAAATGAATTTTGGGACCTCGTTGAATTGCCTAAAAATTGTAAAACAGTCGACTGTAAATGGGTCTTTAAGACCAAGTGCGACTCTAAAGGTAATGTTGAACGCCAAAAGGATAGACTTGTGGCCAAAGACTTTACTTAGAAAGGAGGCATTGATTATAAAGAGACCTTCTCTCTCATATCTAAGAAGGACTCTCTTAGAATTGTTATGGCTTTGATTGCACATTATAATCAAGAGTTACATCAAATGGATGTGAAAACAGCTTTTTTGAATGGGAGTTTAGAAGAAGAAGTCTATATGGATCAACCCAAAGGTTTTCCTGTAAAGGGAAAAGAACACATGGTTTGCAAATTAAAGAAGTCAATATATGGACTCAAACAAGCTTCCAGACAATGGTATCTTAAGTTCAATGATACCATTACATCCTTCAGATTTAAAGAAAATACCATTGATCAGTGTATATACCTGAAGATTAGTGGGAATAAGTTTGTGTTTTTTATTCTATATGTTGACAACATATTGCTTGCCAGTAGTAATCTTGGCCTAAGATTCTCTCTAAGAACTTTGAAATGAAAGATATGGGTGAGGCAACTTATATGATAGAAATAGAAATAGTCCGTGATTGATCACGTGGATTGTTGGGGTTGTCTCAAAAAGCATATATAGAAAAGATTCTAGAGAGATTCAGTATGAAGAATTGTGCAGCTAGTGTTGCCCCAATACAAAAAGGGGATATGTTTAGTCTCATGCAGTGTGCACAAAATGAATGGGAACATAAGCAAATGGAAAAAATTCCTTATGCTTCTACTGTTGGAAGCTTGATGCAAGCCGAAACTTACACTAGACCAGACATTAACTTTGCAGTTGGTATGCTCGAAAGATACCAAAGTAATCCTGGAATGGATCACTAGAAAGCCACAAAGAAAGTGATGAGATATTTGCAAGGGACGAAGGACTACATGCTCACGTACAAGAGATCTGATAACCTTGAGGTGATTGGCTATTCAGATTCAAATTTTGCTGGATGCATTGACAGTTAAAAGTCCACATTCGATTATTTGTTTCTGCTAGCTGGAGGAGCAATTTCTTGAAAAAGTACCAAACAAACTATCACTGCTTTATCCACCGTGGAAGTTGAATTTGTGGCATGCTTTGAGGCCACTATTCATGGATTGTGGTTGCGGAATTTTATCTCAGGGCTTGAGATTGTTAACACTATTGCTAGACATTGAGAATTTATTGTGATAATATTGCAGGAGTCTTTTTCTCTAAAAATGAAAAATATTCTAAAGGTGCTAAGTACATGGAGCTCAAATATTTTGTTGTAAAGGAGGAAGTTTAGAAATAACAAGTGTCTGTAGAAAATATACAGACAGAGCTCAGGATTGCAGATCCATTGACAAAGGGTTTACCACCAAAGATATTTATGGAACATGTTAGCAGAATGGGTCTTTGTTATAGCCAGTAACGTTTATTTTGGATTACATTATGATTTTTTGCCTTTGCTGCTTAAGATATCATTAAATGTGTTTCTGATATTTCTTGTTTTCCATAATTGTGCATACGTAAGTTTGGATGTATGATAACGAGAATAGTCAATGATAAAGATATAATGATTGGACCTTTATGATACTTCACACTTATAGACTGTGGTGAAATGGTCTGCAAGCGTTGTAGTACATGGAAGGAAATATTTCACTTTACTGATATAGAACCGCCATGACTCTGGATTTTTATCCAAATTCGATCTGAATCCGATGAAATTAATAGGACATGGATTTAGGGTCTCAATTCGATAACACGATTAAGATCCGAATCCGATAATTCGTTAACTAAATGGAGCAAATATGGATGTAGGTAAATCCGATCCGATAACAATCCGATCCGATTTATTATAATAATATAATATATTTTGTATATTATTGCATAGTGTATTACATTTTTTTATTTTTTATTTTTTTTGAATTGACCTTATACTTTATGACTTTTAATGAAGGACGTCAAAATTACTAAATTTCAATAACATTAATATGTATTATAATAAATTTTGTATGGAGAAAAAAAATAAAATGTTGAAACACAATAATGGGCTTGACACTTTCTTTCATCCCAACTCCATGTGCCATAATGTCAATCTAACAAATGATAAATTGATAATGGGCTTGTCACTTTCTTTCACCCAATGATTAATTGCACGTCACTTCAAATTATCATGTTCAATGTTTCTTTCACCACCACTTGTGCTTTAAAATAGATATAAAATAATGTGTTAATGAATCATTGGTGGACAGCCAATTTTAAATAGTGAATCTCAACTCTACTTCTCAACTCTACTTCAAGAGAAATGTTGAAGTCCGAGTTTATATAAATATATACGTTATCACTCTAATAGCTTGTGCTATCAGATGGTTGAATCTCAACTCTACTTCCAAGCTCCACCCACGTTTTAGTGTTTTACCTTTTGTTTCTTGAACATTCTTCTCTCTAGAAATTAACTCGAACAAAAAATCCTTTCCTATTCACTCGGCTAAATCAAATTAAAAAAATGGAAATCCCATGGTATTCTCCATCTGTAATTCATATTTATGTCTGCCCGACTCTTCATCTCTACGTAGCAGGGATAGATCTGGTTCATTCCAAATCGAGGTTTCTTCTTCTTTGATTCTCTTTATTCATTTTCTATTTGTAATGCTTTATTTGAACGAGGTTAATCGACTAGTGTAAAGTAGAAAAGAATGGTATACGTGGACTATCATCATACTCATGTTTACATATTTACATCTATAATGCTTTATTTGTAGAATAAAGAATTGTCCCTTTTTTAAAAAAAATAATAAAAAATTATGAAGGAGAAAGATTTCAGAATTGACTTAGTGATATTCCTCTTCTATTTTATGTACTATACATTTCAATTTATGTTTTGTAATTTGTGGAGCTTAAAATGTTCAATTAAATGTCCTTCATGTCAATCCATTTTTGGTTTTTCCTTCTGATCTGTGGTCATTGATCAAGTATGTACATGGTCTTGTTTGTGAATTTAGTATATACGATGTTCCTCGTGTGACCACCATTTCCTGCAAAATATAGGCGGATAGTCTCCAGAAATGTCTCAGATTCAACAAATGGCTTAGTTGTATTTATCTGCTTCGTAGAGGCTTTTTTTCAGTTCATTTGCTGAGTGCCAACTGGATTGAATTTCTGTGTAGGCTTCTTCAAGAGACATAAGGTTGAAATTCAGCCTGGTGCAACTTCATTGGTTAAAATAACAAAATTAAATTACCCCAAATTTTTTTGTTGTTTTCATTTTGTTATTTTGTTGTTTTCCTCAAATTGTTTTAACATATTGACCTTGATTCTAGGACTCTTTGGATACATATAATGGCTGACAAGCCCAACACTAAAGTGGAGAAAAAAGATGATGCGAGGAATGTTATACAAGTTGAAGATTCACCTTCACCTTTTCCTAAGAGACGAAAATTGACATCAAAGGTATGGAATGATTTTCTGAAATTTAAGGGGCCAAAAGGAAATTAAATTGCAAAGTGCAAAAATTGTCGCAAACAATTTGTAGGAGAAAGTGGTAAAGGAACTAGCCACTTAAATTATCACTTGGACAGGTGTAATGGGAAAGGTAGTAGAGACATTGGTCAACAAAAACTATCAATATCCAAAAGTTCCCCAGAGGCTACTACCATATTTCAAAATCATAAGTTTGACCAATTGAAAAGTATGATGGATTTTGCTAAAATGGTTATCATGCATAATTATCCTTTTAATATGGCTGAACATGAATATTTTGAGATATTTTGTAATGGTTTGCAACCAATGTTTAAGCTTGTGTCAAGAAATACAGTGAGGTCTGGTGTCTTTGAAGTTTACAAACGTGAGAAAGAGAAATTACACAACCACTAGGAGAAACTTCCAGGTAAAATCACTCTAACTACTGATATTTGGACATCTAATCATCAAGATATTGGTTATATATGCTTGACATCTCATTTTATTGATGATGATTATGAATTGAACAAAAAAATAATTGGTTACAGATGTATTGAATATCCTCATGACGCAAAAACTCTTTTTGGATATATCACTGATATGATTTTGGATTGGAATCTGGAGAAAAAATTGTTCGCCATGGTGGTTGATAATGCTACCGTCAATGATGCGATGGTAAGAAGTTTGAAATCTGGCTTTGTGACAAGCCTGCAATACCTTTGGAAGGTGAGTTATTTCATGTGCGTTGTAGTGCTCATATTCTTAATTTGATTGTGCAAGATGGGTTAAAAGTAATTGGAGTGTTTATTCATAAGGTTAAAGAAACCGTGAAGTATTTGAAAAGGTCTCCATATGCAACACAAAAATTTACTCATGCAAAAAAATCAACTTAGGTTGAAAGATAAGAAAAAGGTGAAGATGGATTGTTCTACTTGATGGAATTTTACTTTTGAGATGATTGAAAGTGCAATAGAGATGAAAGAGGTGCTTTGGCGCTTAGCACAAACAGATCGTAATTATAAACTCTATCCAAGTGAAGAAGAATGGAAAATTGCTAAAATTCTATGTGATTGCTTGAGAATATTTTATGATGCAACAAATCATTTTTCTGGTTCTCATTTTCCCACATCAAATGTGTTCTTTTCCTAATGTTTGTAATATTCAACTACATTTATCTAAATGGGAAAGAAGTGAGCACGGCTTTTTGAGTATGATGGCTGGCCAATGAAATTGAAGTTTGTTAAATATTGGGAGGAATGTTGTTTGGTATTAGCAATTGCTATTGTTTTTTATCCAAGATTTAAAATGAATTTGGTTGAATATTATTACAATAAACTCTATGGTGTTTATGCTCATACACCTGTTGAAAGAGTTCATAAGGCAACATTTAACTTTTTCAATGAGCATGATGATATTTCATCTCAATCTGAAGTGGAAGTAAGTCAAGAAGTTGGTTCTAGCAATGATCATGGAAGGGGGGCTTTTCTAGAGGACCAGCTGAGTGGGTTTGATTCTTGGTCAATGCAATTTCGATCTTCTAATTTGTCATGTTCTTCTCAAAAGTCAAAATTAGAGAAGTACTTGGAGGAGCCATTATTTCGAAGAACTGAAAATTTTAAAGTTCTAAATTGATGAAAGGTTAATAATGTTAAATTCCCTACTCTTGGAAAAATTGCTCGTGACATATTAGCTGTTCCACCAGCTACTATTGCATCTGAGGCTGCATTTACTGTGGGAAGAAGAGTAGTTGATTATTTTTGTGCTTCATTACTTCCGGAAACTGTAGAAGCTTTGGTGACCACACAAGATCGGCTCCCTTCCCTGAAAAAGAAAAGTAAGTAACTAAGTATTCTAATTATTAAGTTTGGTTATAATTTTTTTTTTTTTTACTCAAGAAATATGTATTATTATTTATTCTTTACGCGTACTTAATTTGTCACGTTCTTTTTGCAGAACTTGACATGAATGTTACAAACAAGGCCCCACAAAATTAAAATAATGTTTCTTAATTACTAAAGTTTATGTAAGTTTTACTTATAAATTTATGTTTTCAATTTCTTGAAATGATATTTGTTTTGTACGGCCTTTATTCTTAAACATCTATTTTTGTAGACGTGGTGGACGGGTGGGTGATATGATATGGAGAGAGAGCTCAAACTTCAAAAGCTGCGCTTGAGAAATTTTTTTTCCTCGTTTTTGTTGCTCACTCTATCTATAACATTTGTTGGATATGTAGTCATTGCAATATTTCATATTTTGGTTCCTTTTAATTTGGTATTATCTTGTGGATTGTTATTGAAATTGCCAATAGGTTAATATTGTTTTTTTTTTTTATATATATTGCAATAAAAAATGTGTAAAATATTTTAGATCGGACTGGATATGGGTAGATCCGATCCATTGACAGCCCTACTCGCACTTGTGGGTTGTTCAACTATAGTATTATGGTAACCAAACTAATGAAGGATTGGAATGTTGAGCGCCTTACGTTTATCTTGACTATCCCAAAAGGTTTATTATGGTCATATGGGCCAAGTGGGAGAATGTAAGAAGTTGTCCCACATGACGTGGCACATATTCACTTAATTATCGGGATTACTCAAAGATTACAATCCTAAATAATTTTGGTAAACAAAATTCTAGATCAATCAAAGAAATCATTCCTAATTAGATTAAATCTTTGATGGAAGGATAATCATAATGAAAAAGGAAATTGGTCCTCTCTCTACCCAATAAAAGGCACACAATATCCATCACGTTTGTGCAACTTAATTGAGGGTTAAGTGGGAGAAACCGTTTTCAGTGCCTTCATTCTTCTCCGATGAAGGATTGGAATGTTGCGTGCCTTATGTTTATCTTAACTTTCCCAAAAGGTTTATTATGATCATATGGGCCAAGTGAGAGAATGTAAGAAGTTGTCCCACATGACGTGGCACATATTCACTTAATTATTGGGATTTGTCAAAGATTACAATCCAATAATTTTGGTAAACAAAATTCTAGATCAATCAGCGAAGTCATTTCCTAACTAGATTAAATCTTTGATGGAAAGATAACCATAATGAAAAAGGAAACTGGTCCTCTCTCTACCCAATAAAAGGCACACAATATCCATCATGTTTGTGCAATCCATCATGTTTGTGCAACTTAATTGAGGGTTAAGTGAGAGAAACCGTTTCCAGTGCCTTCATTCTTCTCCAAAGATTGTTCTCATGGATTCAGATATGTCAAATTCCTTTCCACGAATAAAAAATAAAAATAAAAAAATCCCTTACGAGAATCATGATTATTTGAGTTCTTGGTTACTATGGATTTAATCTTACAATGCCACCCCACAAATCACCTATATGGGCAGAGTACTAACAATAATAATAACAATAATAATAGTAATAATAATCTTCAAACTAAAGGGGCTTCGCATTATGTTAATTGTACTGAACAAGAAGTTAGTAATCTAAAGAGATTAACATGTTAAAATGAATCATCTTCAGCTTTTCGGTTCTCATCAAAGTTTTTGAAGATGACAGAGGACAACACATACATTCAGTGAGGTGTAATCATCGAGTTCATCAAAGTGTACTTGTTATAGTTGTTATCCTCATCGATCTGATCAATAAAAATAATATGACTTGACCCGCTAGTTTTATTAGTGACTATTTTAAATTTCTAGTAAGGTTGACTTACATGTATAGTTATCAGATTCGATCCGAATATCAATCCAACAAGGCATCGGGTACTAGGATAGTGGTTGGATCTATGGGTTGCTAAAAAAACTATTCAAAACTTTCGTAGTATAATTTTTTTCTGTGAAATGCAATTTTAATTTGTTTTCACTAATTATTTTTAAATCTAGAAATTATTAATATTATAATCTTTTTTACATTTAATTTTGTAATTTTGTATATTATAGAATTTCTGACAAAATTTATATTATTCTCATTCTTCTATTATGTACAAACGTTTTATTAGCTATCTCCGAATTTTTTTTGTATATTAAAGTATTCATTTCAACTAAACTAGAAATAACTTTATATGTCACCAAAAAATAAATAAATAAATAAATAAATAAAACTATTTGAAATTAGGGTTGGACGTAGTCTAACTCAATTCGAACTGAATCCGAATTTTCGAGTATTTAGTAAGTAGAACCATCGGATCTAAATTTAATTATGGAATCATTCGGATTCGATTCAATTCGGTTCCCTAGTTTCGTATTACATTAATTCAACTATGACATGTTCAAATTTTAACTCTTACAAAATAATGTAGTTCAATCTCGTGATATTTTTTGCCTCTCATTATTGAGTTCTTCATAAATTTGATATTAAAATCACAAAAATAGGAAGATAGCAAACTTACAATAATGAAAAGAGGCATAGCCGAGCTTCCCATTCGATTTCTCCCAAACGGTAGAAACGATAGAATAAGAGATTTGAGTAAAAATTAGATCCATTTGAATAAATTGGACTTAGTCAAAAATTAGAAATAGGAAAATCATATTTTGGGTTTGGACTAATTAGTTAGCAAATTTATTTAAAAATAAAATAATTTGGCTTATTAAAGATTAAAAAAAATTAAAGAAATTAATGAGATTCAATTCTTATTCGGACCGAGAACTAAAAATTGAACCAAATCCGTCGATTATCGATTCAGATATTCGTTCAGGTATTTAACTTTAAAAGACCGCTCGATTCAATTCAATTTGGTTCAGGTCCGATTCGATCAGATTTTATTAGGAGATTTGTTTAGCCCAATTTGAAACCGATTCAGATATTCGTTCAGGTATTTAACTTTAAAAGACCGCTCGATTCAATTCAATTTGGTTCAGGTCCGATTCGATCAGATTTTATTAGGAGATTTGTTTAACCCAATTTTAAACTATATATATATATATAGTAAAATGCTAGACTATAATTATTTTCAGTCTTAGGCAACAACAGATATTGGTTTGTTGTTATAACAAATATATTATAAATACTGGAAAATATAAATCACAACAAAATCTTATTTGACTCGATGGTAGGTATATTGTCCTCAAAAGTTACTCATTTCACGAAGAATAATGCTATTCATGATGAAGATTGTATGATAGTCGTCATATGTGATATACACATGGAAGTTTGTTATTTTATACATTAATGTGATAGTTATTTGATACACACAGCCGTTTGTTATTTGATGCATTGTATGCCACGTAATAAGACTACCAATAGTCTTTCACAAAATTCACTGATTTTAACCGGTTCAATGGTCGTCAAGTCATCTTAGACACTTGACTTGAAAAAGATCTCGGGTCATTGGTTTTCCCACCTAATCGAGTTTAATAATCATGTTTGGAAAATCTTAAACTATAAAAATGTTAACATATATTTTTTATTCACACATTTAGGATTCACATTTTATAATCACTTAACTTGTAAAAGCGTCGAAATTCTTTGACAATACCTCCCTACTAGATCACGATAACTTAAATTATATCATGTCTTCAATTTAAATACATTTACTTTTAGTGAGCACATACCCATTCTTACTTACCCCCACCCCCACCAAATGGTGATAAAAAAATAAAAATAAATAAAATATATATATATATAAATTTTGATGACAATTGATAAAATGTGCATTAAAAAGTTTTGAGTTACATAAAATATGTTATTAAAATTAATTGTTAATTTAAATTAAAATTAAAATCTAATGTCATAGCTAGACCAAACACAAGTTTAATATATCGAAATGTTGAAAAATTAAAAATATTAGCATATGAAAATATATATATATATATATATATATATATATATTGAAGATTATTTAGTATTATCATGATACATGAATAAATCTTATCTATAGTTTAAAAGATCTATTTTATTCCAGTTGTAACTCTTATTTTGAACTCTATAAATATAGAACGTTGGTTCATAATAATACACAATTGAGTTTTAACTCTTTATTTCTTCTCTTATTTTCTCTCTTCCCTTTAATTTTATAACACGTTATAAGCACGATAGCTTAATTTTTCAAAGTTTGGAGAAGGTAGTAATTTTTTTAAACATAATTATTTATCACGTGTATCAAAATAAATTTAATAACATGTGAATTTTATGTTGGAATCATATTATTTCTGTCGAAGTGATTATGTGACCTGCCTAAATTTGTCCCTTGATTATGCCACCCATTATTGCATAGACACAATGGTTTATGGTTAAAGTAAAAAATAACATATTGTGTCACCCATTATTTCGTGACCTGCCTCAATTGTGTATAATTCTTTAAATGTAATTCTTTTGTTAACTTATTTTAGTCAAAGTTTAACATGCAAAGGTAATGATTACTTTTTACTCCAATCATTATTTTTTTTTTAATTAATGTCATATCGGTGTATGAATTCATCCGATCTATGCTATTCCATCAAATTTTTTTCAGGATTTATTCATGTCTTTTCTCAATTTATGTGCAAGACAAAAATTAATATCCAACAACACATCTTTTAATAAAATAAAATAAAAATTGCGTAATGATTTTATATTATTGCACGTGTAACTGTGTCTGTTGAAGCAGTATTTGTCATTCAATTAATTATCACGTTCTATTCTTTATGAATTTAGTACTTTATTTATTTATTATACATAATTTGTTGTTGCTCCCGAAGTAGCACAACATTATAATTAATATTCTCGAAGAATACATTTGCTATTGAAGAGTATAAATTATATTTTTTAATATTTCAGAAGAATATTGACGTATTGATCTTGAAGAAATAATAATAAAATATGTGCTCCTGAAGTAGCATATATTTCGAAGAACATATTATTTTAGTGTTTATCCTTGAAGGAAAATACATAACTTATCTCATATTGATATTGACTACTTGATTAATTATTATATGATGTTTAATCTTATTCTTCGAAACTAATTATATTTTATTTTACTGTAGTTAATCAAATGGCAAACATCACAAAACTTAAGTTTACTGCACTTGACATCTCTGGCAAAAATTATTTATCATTGGTACTTAATGCTGATATCAATCTTGTCTCAAAAGGTTTGGGGGAGATAATAAAAGAAGGAAATAAAGAATCCCTGCAGGATCGAGCAAAAACACTCATCTTCTTTCGTCATCATCTTCATGACGGACTGAAAATTGAATATCTTACTGAAAAAGATCCATAGGTTCTTTGAAAAAAATTAACTGAAAGTTTTGATCATCAAATGACTAAAGTCCTTCACAAAGCCCGTTATGAGTGGATGCACCTTCGTTTGCAAGACTTCAAAACTGTTAGCAA